CCAGTGAATGTGCGCTCAATTCGACCTAGAGTCCATTTTAAGGGGGGTAAGTTGTCGTCTTTCAGAAGCACCATAGCACCTTGCTGTACATTTGGGGTAGATGTACGCCACTTAGACCTCTCTTGTAGCAATGATAAATACGAAGTGCTCCACTTTTGCCAGAAGATTTGCTGCATTTGACAAATTCGCTGCCATCGGCTAAGGCGGTTCATGTTTAAATGTGTTACGTTTGGTTCGGTGATAGCTACGAGTGGTCCACCTATGAGGAAATGCGCTGGTGTAAGCACGTCAAGATCATGTGGGTTTTCTGTAATTGGACAGAGGGGGCGTGAGTTTAAAATAGCAGAAATTTCACAGACCAAAGTGCGAAGCTCATCAAAAGTTAAAATGGAAATGCCAACGGTCCGATAAAAATGAAGTTTTGCGGATTTGACCGCAGCCTCCCATAAACCACCAAAGTGCGGCGACCGAGGTGGAATGAATTTCCAGTCTATATGATTTTCAATGCAAGCTTCTGCTATTGCGTTGTTGTGATTTTGATTAAAAAATAATTTTCGCAGCTTCTCCAGCTCATTTTTCGCTCCTACGAAATTTGTTGCGTTATCAGACCAGATTGTGCTCGGTTTGCCTCTAATGCTGATAAAACGCTTAAGTGCTGCGATGAATGATTGAGTCGATAAATCTTGAACAAGCTCAAGATGAGTCGCTTTCGTCGCAAAGCAAACAAAAATGCATACATAGCATTTGACAGGCGGTCGGTTGCGCACAGTGTGTTTGTAATGAAATGGTCCACAGTAATCAATCCCGGTGGTGTGGAATGTTCTGGATGGCCGCACGCGATCTTTTGGCAGAAACGACATAATTTGCTGTAATACCCGAGGCTTCAGGCGATAGCACTTTATGCATATATTGACAATTTTAGCGACTGTTTTGCGCCCACCAATAGGCGAATACTGCTGTCGGATCGATGCTAGCAAACTCTGTGGTCCTGCATGCAGGAGTTTTCGATGATGAAATTCAATGAGCGCGTTGGTGACTGGATGCTGCTTTGGTAGCAAAAGCGGATGCTTAGCCTCGAAGTCCAAATTTGAATGATGAAGTCGTCCTCCAACGCGAAGTGCACCAAAATCGTCGACAAATGGATTGAGAGACAACAGGTTGCTAGACGAAGGTAACTGTTTATTTTCCTTAAGTATTTTATATTCTGTTGCGAAGTATACTTGCTGTATATGCCTGATTAACAATAATGTACCACATTTTACGTCATCGACAGTAAGCGATCCAGTTGATGGTACAGAGCGTTTTGCGTTTAACTGACAAAATTTGTAAACGTATGCGAATACGCGTTGTAGCTTGCCGAATGAATTTTGAAATTCGCAATCAAAAGTTGCATCAATTCGAGGACTTGTAACCAGAACACGGCGTCGCCTTTCTGGAAGATCAGTCAAGAAATCCATGTTTCCTGGCCAGTGCGATGAATCTGTACGGAGAAATGCAGGACCATTTGCCCAAAGAAAGTTATTTAGAAGCTCCTTTGGAGCACAACCACGTGAAAGAATATCCGCAGGACTTAGATCAGTAGGAACATGATGCCATGTCATGCCCGATGTGAGGGATTGAATCTGGGCTACGCGATTGGAAACAAATATGTTAAAATTTCCAGGAAAAGACCGCAGCCATGACAAAACCATCATTGAGTCCGACCAGCAATGACAATCGTAAGATAGCTGACTATTTTCCAAAATGTTTGAGACCAATTCCGCCAGCAGCAATGCGGCTGACAATTCGAGTTTCGGAACGGTGAGTGATTTCAATGGTGTCACTCTCGACTTGGAACACAGGAGATGTGTTTTTATGACACCTTGATCTTCAATACGGGTGTAAAGGCAAGCACCGTAAGCAGATAAACTGGCATCACAAAATGCGTGGAGCTGTACACGTACCTGCATAGCGAGTACGAAGCGTGGGAAGCGAAGGCTGCTAACGATGGATAGTTGACTGCACAAATCCAACCATGTACAATGCAGGGACTGCGGCAAGCTTTCGTCCCAATTCAACTTTTCTTTCCATAAGGCTTGCATAAATACCTTCAAACTTGTAATTACAGGCGAAATTAGCCCAAGTGGATCATAAAACCGCGCTATTACCGAGAGAATCGAACGTTTTGTGATTTTTCCCAAATTTGAAATTGGCGTGAAGCTAAACAGAAATTGGTCTGATATGGGGTCCCACACAAGGCCGAGCGCCTTTGTAACATCGGTACCATCATGAAACTTCAAGAATTGTTCGCAGTCTTGCCCATCTTCATCTTTAAGAACGACAGCTTCATTCGAACACCATTTCCGAATAGGAAAATCTCCTCGTCGAAGTAGCTGCTTCACCTGCTGCTTCATTTGCATGACTTCTTCAATCGTATCACCACCAGAAATTAAGTCGTCTACGTAAAAGTCGCGCCGAATGATTTTTGCCCCGATGGGGAATGCTTCTTCTTCGTCAAACGTAAGTTGGTGCATAGCCCGAATGGCTAAAAACGCAGCTGGCCTTGTACCATATGTCACAGTGTCGAGCTTATAGATTCTTATTTCCTCTGATGGATCATCACGCCAAAGTATGCATTGCAACTGGTTATCAGGGTTAGCCATTTTAACACAGCGATACATTTTGCATATATCACCACAAAGCGCAACCTTGAAAAATCTGAAACGAAGTAATGTGCTAAAAAGTTTTGGTTGTGTAGTTGGTCCTGACAGCAACAAATCGTTTAAAGAGTGCCCAGAAGTGGTTTTAGCAGATCCGTCGAATACTACACGCAATTTGTAGTAGTACTATCTTGTTTTCGAACACAATGGTGGGGTAGGTAGTAAACCGGAGCGCCTGCTAGTAATGATGCCATTGACATGTGACCAAGATCCATGTATTCCTGCATGAAGTCTGAGTATAAACGCTTTGTGGGTTGATCTCTTTGAAGCTTTCTTTCTAGAGCCTTGAATCTCCGTAAAGCAAGGTCGTACGAGTCACCGAGAATATCGAAATTAGATTTAGGAGGTAGCCTTACTGAATACGCTCCTGATGGCAGACGAACGTGATTTTGTACGAAATGCTTCTCGCAGAAAACATCTTCATCTGACAAGGTTGGGTTAGGGGTTGCGGCGAATCTATTTTCGACCTCCCAAAAGCGCGTGACAATGCTTGCCAGTATGTCATTACTATCTCCTAGTGGCTTTGGATTTCTGAAGGACGAAAGAGCTGTGGAGCGACTATTGAAGTGCGATACCCC